GTGTGTACAGCAATGTAACATACCGTTTTACAATAGATGTGTGTACAGCAATGTAACATACCGTTTTACAATAGATGTGTGTACAGCAATGTAACATACTGTTTTACAGTAGATGTGTGTACAGCAATGTTACATACTGTTTTACAGTAGACGTGTGTACAGCAATGTTACATACAGTAGACGTGTGTACAGCAATGTTACATACTGTTTTACAGTAGACATGTGTACAGCAATGTTACATACTGTTTTACAGTAGATGTGTGTACAGCAATGTAACATACTGTTTTACAATAGATGTGTGTACAGCAATGTAACATACCGTTTTACAATAGATGTGTGTACAGCAATGTAACATACTGTTTTACAGTAGATGTGTGTACAGCAATGTTACATACTGTTTTACAGTAGAAGTGTGTATAGCAATGTTACATACAGTAGATGTGTGTATAACAATGTTACATACAGTAGACGTGTGTACAGCAATGTTACATACAGTAGATGTGTGTACAGCAATGTTACATACTGTTTTACAGTAGACGTGTGTACAGCAATGTTACGACAGGAGACGTGTGTATAGCAATGTTACATACAGTAGACGTGTGTACAGCAATGTTACATACAGTAGACGTGTGTATAGCAATGTTACATTCTGTTTTACAGTAGACGTGTGTACAGCAATGTTTCATACAGTAGACTTGTGTACAGCAATGTTACATACAGTAGACGTGTGTACAGCAATGTTACATACAGTAGACGTGTGTACAGCAATGTTACATACTGTTTTACAGTAGACATGTGTACAGCAATGTTACATACTGTTTTACAGTAGATGTGTGTACAGCAATGTAACATACTGTTTTACAATAGATGTGTGTACAGCAATGTAACATACCGTTTTACAATAGATGTGTGTACAGCAATGTAACATACTGTTTTACAGTAGATGTGTGTACAGCAATGTTACATACTGTTTTACAGTAGAAGTGTGTATAGCAATGTTACATACAGTAGATGTGTGTATAGCAATGTTACATACAGTAGACGTGTGTACAGCAATGTTACATACAGTAGATGTGTGTACAGCAATGTTACATACTGTTTTACAGTAGACGTGTGTACAGCAATGTTACGACAGGAGACGTGTGTATAGCAATGTTACATACAGTAGACGTGTGTACAGCAATGTTACATACTGTTTTACAGTAGACATGTGTACAGCAATGTTACATACTGTAGACGTGTGTACAGCAATGTTACATACAGTAGACGTGTGTACAGCAATGTTACATACAGTAGACGTGTGTACAGCAATGTTACATACTGTTTTACAGTAGACATGTGTACAGCAATGTTACATACTGTTTTACAGTAGATGTGTGTACAGCAATGTAACATACTGTTTTACAATAGATGTGTGTACAGCAATGTAACATACCGTTTTACAATAGATGTGTGTACAGCAATGTAACATACTGTTTTACAGTAGATGTGTGTACAGCAATGTTACATACTGTTTTACAGTAGAAGTGTGTATAGCAATGTTACATACAGTAGATGTGTGTATAGCAATGTTACATACAGTAGACGTGTGTACAGCAATGTTACATACAGTAGATGTGTGTACAGCAATGTTACATACTGTTTTACAGTAGACGTGTGTACAGCAATGTTACGACAGGAGACGTGTGTATAGCAATGTTACATACAGTAGACGTGTGTACAGCAATGTTACATACTGTTTTACAGTAGACATGTGTACAGCAATGTTACATACTGTAGACGTGTGTACAGCAATGTTACATACTGTTTTACAGTAGACGTGTGTACAGCAATGTTACATACAGTAGACGTGTGTACAGCAATGTTACATACAGTAGACATGTGTACAGCAATGTTACATACTGTTTTACAGTAGACATGTGTATAGCAATGTTACATACAGTAGACGTGTGTACAGCAATGTTACATACAGTAGATGTGTATACAGCAATGTTACATACTGTTTTACAGTAGATGTGTGTACAGCAATGTTACATACAGTAGACATGTGTACAGCAATGTTACACACAGTAGACGTGTGTACAGCAATGTTACATACAGTAGATGTGTGTACAGCAATGTTACATACTGTTTTACAGTAGATGTGTGTACAGCAATGTTACATACTGTTTTACAGTAGATGTGTGTACAGCAATGTTACATACAGTAGACGTGTGTACAGCAATGTTACATACAGTAGACATGTGTACAGCAATGTTACATACTGTTTTACAGTAGACATGTGTATAGCAATGTTACATACAGTAGATGTGTGTACAGCAATGTTACATACAGTAGATGTGTGTACAGCAATGTTACATACTGTTTTACAGTAGACATGTGTACAGCAATGTTACCTACTGTTTTACAGTAGACAAGTGTACAGCAATGTTACATACAGTAGATGTGTGTACAGCAATGTTACATACTGTTTTACAGTACACAAGTGTACAGCAATGTTACATACCAATACACCATTGTATCTTTATTATCCCAACAAAAGCTGGTGGTCCACTTATTCATTTCATTGGCAAATTTCTTTAGTGAGACAAAGTGAACCAGAAATCTAAATATTTCAGTTTGTTTCTTGTTTTTTGAAAAAAATTGATACATAGCAACTCCTTCATTTTCTGTTATTAAAACAATTCCTGGACATTTTTCTACCATTTACATAATTTTTCCAAATTAACATTTTTTAGATCCCATTGACCTCAAAAAAAAGAAAGATAAGTGAAAATGCATATTTTGTATCACGCATATTCTGATGCCTGTAGTAATTAAATAAATATGGCAACAAATATCATCAGCAGATCAAAAGTGAAATTCTACAAATTTTGATTGTCTTACATCCTTAAGTTCCTGTGATGGGTAGTATAGAAGATAGGGTAGAGGGATAATGGAAAATAAACATTCACAAAAGTATAGTTCCTTACATAAAAGCTGTTGAAATTCACTCTTTGTAAACATATCTATATTTGTGAAGCTGCCAAATTACTACTAACCCTCATTCTACCTGTGATATGACACCACAAAAAAGCCTGCAGCACATGCGACATTGCACTTTTAATTATAAACATGCTTATGCCAATTAAGCAAATTGGTTAAATGGTTTCTTCGTGACGGCCTTTGGAATTTATAACATTGGCTTGTATTTTTAATAAGATCCACTTTTACAAAGTTTTATTTGTTCAATATCCTCATTAAGTGAGTATGTTTTCTTGTTATTACATAATATCAAGTGAAACTTACTTAATCATGTAAATTAGCCAAATGACGCATCTATTGGAGATTTAGGAAATAAACAATATTGGTTTTAAAACAGAACAAAATTTTACATAATTAAAACTTGATTCTAAAAGTCATGAGTGATAAAGTCAAATTTGTTAAAATTACTCTGAACTGCTATACCACAACACTGTCAGTCTAGTTCAAATCTAATCTCACTACACTTTGTAACTTGTTACATGACAATTTAAGTCATGTTGGAAGTGCCCTTTCACACTGGACTTTTTATTGTAAACATAGGTTAATTTGGTATACTATGTTATAGTAACTGAGAACTTTACAGAAATTCATGGAATCTTGCTGAATTTGATCACACTTCAGCTTCAGTTTGACTCTTGTCAGACAAGTCACAACCAAAACATACTGTCCAACAGAGATTGGTAATTAAAGGGGCTACTTAGTCAAGCAACGATTTTTCTATTCAGCTGGAAATGAAAATATATGTGTCCAGACTAACAAATCTGTAAATAAAAGTTTTCTCCTATGTAGCCAATGTCCAGTGTGGTCAGTTTAAAATCTGGGGAAGCAACCGCCAAAAATCCTGATAATCCAAATATAGCATGAAACGCTGTGCCCTCTGGCGGGAAGAAGACTGTTTGTAAACAAATGCACGCGTTTGCGCATGCTCACATGTCAAAGTGCGCAGAGGCGGCTTGCTCATTTGCATTTATCATATCTGTACAGATGATTAGGATTTCCCATATAATTAATCAAAACACCGATGGAAAACACGCGCTTGTATCAATATGTCGGCGAGGATAGTTAATTAGGATTATAGAACTACATTTTTATGGATGATTTTGTAACTAGAAAAAACAAACAAACAAACTTGACTAAATAGCCCCTTTTCGTATATCTATAAAGTCGCTATGAAATACTTGGCCAAAATTTGAGATATTGAACCATGTACATATATAGATAAAAGTATTACTTTTACAGCAACTGACTGTGCATAGCATTTTCCATGGGGCTGAATTTGGGGCCATTCACAGTTGAACTTATTTCATAATATGGCCCAATTCCTCAATATACAGATTATTCCTGCAAATTTCCTTCTAAATGGATAATGTTTTCCCTGCAAATAAGATAAAATGCCTTAAATGTGTTGGAAAATGTCCTGATAACTATTGAAAGGAAGTTATGGTTATGAAACTGACATTATGAAACTGAAGATATTTTAGTTTTAAGCAAGAAAAAGTGAAGTGATCTTAAATTTAACTATTCAGAATTAATGTCTTCATTTTTCACTCATATGAAACAACAATGAACAGATAATTCGCTAAACTGGGTAAATTGTTTATAAAAAGCTATGTCAGAAATATATGTCCCTACATGTAGCTACTGATATTAATCACATTATTTCCCTGTATTTTTGTTAAAGTAACATGTAATTAATTAAAACTTTCGTAAAAAGTAAAAAATGTTTCTAATTATTGGTCAATAATCATCAGTTATAAGTTTACTTTTCAGTTTGACCTTTATTTATATTTCATGAGGTTGTATAATGTGTATAAAGTAATCAGAGTTATCTCCCATATATCATAGTCGTTACACAATGTGCAACCGGTAAAAAAATTATCGATGTATTTCACAATATATGTGAGAGAAAGGTAATATTTTTCAAAAAACCTATAGGAAGGAGATAAAATATTAAATTATAGATGAAAAATACCTACCATTCTGTTACACCAGCTTCAAGTACTGTTGTTTCGGCACAGTCACTCTTCTTACGGTTGGATTTCAGTGTCAAACTACAACATAATCTCTACACCATTTCGATAAATAGTTTTTATAGATGAAAATAAGGTTAAATGAAAATATGTATTTACTTTTATAAAATTATTATTTTAAAAGTTTCATATCTGGCTTATATCTGATATAAGTGTACCTCTATCTGTTAAAAGCAAATTCTATCAATTCGGTGTCGAGATTAGTTGCTGTTCTAGTAAATAAAAATTCTCCCTACAAAAAAAATATATTTGAGTGGTTTACATGGAATATAAAAAATGTCTCTCATTATTGTATTTTTATATCGTGTTGCTATGTAATGTTTTATTTCTTGTAATAAATGACTTTGCATAGATATTAATTGCAACGATAAAAACACTGTATTTTGTTCAGGTTTTTGGGATGAAGAATGTATACTTCCGGTTTCTGAGGAGATTAGTGTGTGTGTGTGAAACTTGATCCGCTAGGCCTGGTGAATGAATGATTAGGGTGCCTGTGTTCAAGAAGGTAAGGAACAGAGATTCTTTTGCTTTACACACGAATTTTAAATGAGAATATGAATTACTGTTCGATTGTTGCATGCTCCGTTTTCATATACACCGAGTTCTGAAGTTGTTCTTAATTATTACTCTCAGCGAAACTTTCATAACTTTTTATGTCTGTGTGCATTAGGCATATACAGCTAGTGTACATGAAAACACTGATAACAATGCAATATCAATGTTCACATCATGTCTAGCGCTTGGTACCATGAATTTTGAATCGGATGCTGTATTAACAAGTGTCTGTTATATGGTATTTAGTAAAATTTTATATAATAAAAAGATTCTAAAGTTATCTTCTATTTGATGTTAGAATTTCACATTCCGGCTAATGGCAGTATTCTAGCTATAATGGACTAGAAAGGCTAAGGAATATCCTGGGATTTTAAACTCTATTTTTATACAAATATTTTGGCATCAGTTCAATTATTCATATTTGAAT